CCCGTGGGGCCCCTGCCCCGGCCCAGCTCCTACCGGCCGCTGCGCTTCAAGGGGGGCCGCGCCATCCCCTTCGCTGCCCGGCCCATGACCCAGCTGGAGTACGAGCTGCTGCACCGCACGCTGGCGGAGGCGATGGAGCCGCTCTACCAGCTGCTGCGCAACTCCACCGGCTTCTGGTACCACAACTGCTCCCAGCGCTGCCTGACCTTCACGGACATCGCGCCGCGGGGGCTGGCGCCGGGCGAGCGCCGCAGCTGGCTGGTGCTGCAGCGCTTCGTGGAGGGCTTCTTCCTGCACCCGGTGGGGCTGGAGGTGCTGGTGGACCACCGGGACCCCGACCCACGGCGCTGGGCGGTGCAGCAGCTCTGGTACAACGGGCACTACTTCTCCAGCCCGCAGGAGCTGGCCGAGACCCCGACCCACGGCGCTGGGCGGTGCAGCAGCAACGGGCCAACGGGCACTACTTCTCCAGCCCGCAGGAGCTGGCAGAGGCGAGGGACGAGCCCCGCGGGCACTTCGCCACCGGCACCCCCACCGAGGTGCACGGGGCTAAAGTGTGTGAGCCCCAGGGCCGGCGGTACCGGCTGCGGGGCAACCAACTGGAGTATGGGGGCTGGAGCCTGGCCTTCCGCCTGCGCTCCTCCGCCGGCCTCCAGCTCTTCGACCTGCGCTTCAACGGGGAGCGCCTGGCCTACGAGGTGAGCGTGCAGGAGGCCATCGCCTTCTACGGGGGCCACACGCCGGCCGCCATGCAGACCAAGTACATGGACGCCGGCTGGGGCATGGGCTCCGTCACCTACGAGCTGGCCCGCGGCATCGACTGCCCCGAGGCGCAGCCGCCACCCCCCTCTACGATGCCGACGGGCCGGTGCGCTTCTCCAGCGCCATCTGTGTCTTCGAGCTGCCCACCGGTGTCCCGCTCCGCCGCCACTTCGACAGCGACTTCCAAGGGGGTTTCCACTTCTACGCCGGCCTGGAGGGGCAGGCGCTGGTCCTGCGCACCACCTCCACCGTCTACAACTACGACTACATCTGGGACTTCCTCCTCTACCCCAACGGTGTGATGGAGGCCAAGGTCCATGCCACCGGCTTCATCCACGCCACCTTCTACACGCCGCAGGGCCAGCGCTACGGCAGCCGTGTCCCCAGCCACCTCCCGGGCAACCTCCACACCCACCTGGTGCACTACAAGGTGGACCTGGACATCGCAGGTGCAGCCCCCCACCGCGCTGGGGCCTCCCCTGCTCCCTCGGCCGGCCCCCCCGGCTCTGGGGATGGTGTGGGGAGGTGGGACCGGCCCCCACGCCGGGGGCTCGGGAGCCTCGTCCCCAGGGAAGCGTTGCCATCCGGGCACCGCCCGGACCCTCTGAAAATGACCCCCCCGCCAGGGTGGCATCTCTGTGGGGTCCCAGCCCCGTGCCCCGGGCAAGGGGCTGCCGGGTGGGCACCCCTCTGTGGGATGCGGGTGCACCCCAGGCCCCGCTGCTGCTCACAGCCTCTCTGTTTGCAGGCACCGGCAACAGCTTCGAGACGGTGGACGTGCGCTTCGAGAACATCTCCAACCCCTGGAGCCCGGGCGCCCGCGTGGTGCAGCCCTGGCTGCACCGGCAGCCCCGCCGCAGTGAGCGCCAGGCTGCCTTCCCCTTCGGCAAGGCGCTGCCCCGCTACCTGCTCTTCTACAACCCGAACCGGCACAACCGCTGGGGCCACCCGCGCAGCTACCGCATCCAGCACAGCTCCCACGCCGGGCGGGTGCTGCCGCGCGGCTGGCAGGAGGAGAAGGGCGTCTCCTGGGGCAGGTGGGGCGGGGGCTCCCTGCAGCATGACGACGCGGCTCCTGCCGGCCCCGGTGGGCTCCGGCAGGGCCAGCCCCACTGTCTGCGTGCCGAGCCCCGAGCGTTGCCCAGCCACCACGTTCACGGCGCGGGGACCTTCCCCTGGAGGCACCTCGTGCCCTCAGCTCCCTGTCCCCACCCCGGCAGCCCCTCTGCAGGCTGAGCAGGTC